ACCTAAAGCCACGACCTCGATTTTTGTTGCAGTTACTCTGTCGTTAGAACCGTGGTAAGATAACCTCATGATTGCGATTGTGCAATGCTTTCGATTTCACTTAACATAGCTGTCGTAAGTGAATTTAAAGCTATTCACGCTTTGCCTGATTTCATGAACAGTTTCTTAAAATCTTTTGAATCAAACTGAAACAAACTGATTCAAATCGGTTCGAATAAAAACAATAGTACAACACCAATATTCTGTACAGTAACTGGAGTTGTGATAAATTAATCTTTTATTAGTTTTGAACCAAAATTTGGTGCTGTATTCGATTAATCTACGCAAACTCACCGAACATAATTATTAGACTTGCATTCCTGTGCAATGCTTTTGGGTGCACTATTTCAGGAAACAAGCTGATAGATAATCGGCTGTTTAGGAGTTCGAGTTAGTAGAGGAAATAATAAAGAAACTAGCGCATTAAGAGGACGCATTCGTGATTCAGCGTCTGCCTGAAGTGGAGTGGATCTCTTCAAGATTCTCAAGCAGATGAGCTTACGCAAGAAGCTTCACAAACGAATTTGAACGTCTCTCTGTGTGCGGAATTCACCTCCAGTCACATTTGCAAAATTTATCCTCTACCCAGCGGTGACTTTACCACAAGCTATGAATCTATCATATTGCCAGTGTACTTTGACTTTGGAGTCTTATCTCTGGGACTGATTTGGGTGATAATTTCCATTGAACAGAGTTGGATAGTTGTTTTCTTCATAACAGTTATGCTGGTAGTGAGGACCATAATGTCGTCGATTGTTCACTAAGTCTAACCGTGGTGGTGCAGTTGAATACAATTGTTATTTGAATAATTGCTGTAATGATTTAATAAGTTAATGACGTGATTGAACGGAATTTCGTTTGGCACGCATCAGAAAGATTGTGTAAACGAGCCACCTATCATAGAGGTGGAAAGCAGTGACATTTTTTTTTACTCTGAACTGAGCTGGGCAGTTGTGTATACCCAACCCCTACTGAACATCTCTGTTGTCACTGGCGTCTTCCGGATTATATTTATTCCGCTCTGAACTAGTCCGGTTTGTAGAAGATTTTGCATTTTTTCACAGATGAACTTGTCGGTTCTTATTTTAGCGGATTAAGTTGGTTGATACAGATAGACAGACGATTCAGCAAGTGTGTGAATCGATCTGTGAATTGTGACCACTCTTTGCCAGCTGATACAGTTTAATCGAATACAAGGGTATGTCAATGGCAGCTGAATTTTTTTCTCAACAAGGTGTTTCCAGCCTAGTGAATCACCGGGTATGGCTCCNTGGCTCGAACAGATCATTAGGTATTATATCATATCAGTTAGAACAGAGTGGAAACTTTGCTGTTGCCATGGCTATAGGAGTGATTGCCCTATGTGACACCTTTTACATTCTCCCCATTTCCTCATTCACTGTCTTTTTCTCATTTTGACACTTGTTTTATTCATTCTTGTCAAAAATTTCTCATATGGTGTCCACCTCACACATGTTACCTGGCTTTGCCCTATCCAATTATTCTGATCCGATAGCTTGTTGTCCACTGAACATTGTGCACACACATTCATTCACTACCAGCTTAAGCGAATAAAGCGTGGTATGGTAGGCGACAGATGGACATACGCAATACGTGCCCTAGCCAGCGAAACCTACTAGTCTAAATTCGATGAGCTAGCAGGTTTATCCCTGATAAACACCCAAACACACAACGGTTTACCTCCAGAATACTCGTTCTTTGCATCCCGCTTGGGCTACGTAAACACCGATAATCGCATTACATCTACGAAAAAAGATTTGAGTCATTTTTTCCTAGATATTTTCAACACTGACAATGGTACGAAGCTCTTAGACATGAGATTATAGGGATTGATGAAATCAGCTTCAATCATGCAAAACCCGCAAACTCGTTTGGGCAGGTCAACATTTTGCATTTCGTTGGGGTGTCAATGGTAAGAACCATCAACAACTGAGGTTTATATCAGTTTAGTCAAAGTAATCACCAAGAGTTGGATCTATTTCCGTTACGGATAAAGAAGGAGTCATTTTTGATCCCAGTGGCCAATGATTCGAGGGGAGAAACTGACCGCAGTAGTCCCCCCCCCGTCATCTTATGCATGCTAAGTATCTCGTCAAGTGTGCATTTCAATGTCAGAGATGCGTAAGCAATGGCATTTGATTCGAAGGCATCGGTTTTATTCGAGAGAAAATCTACCTCAATGAAATTGACTCATTGGGTTATTGACACTCAGGCAATGAATCATGCTGACATTCACGTCTGGGCATGGTGACCGACTTATCGATCAATCTTGACGTGATTCGCCTCCTTACCCGACTGACAGAGGCCAATTAACTCCGGGTTCGTTCATGTGTATCTATGACGCACACTCGATCAACGATCACGAACATAACGTTCCCGGGTGGAACAGGTGTGTTTGTGGAAGAAGGGGGGGGGGGTAAACGGAAACTTTCATCCACGCTCGGTAACTCACTCAAAATTTACTTTTGCATGTTTACGGAGGAGTTAGTTCATTCGGACTGGACGGGGCTAAGACATACCCGGTCCAATCGGTGACGTTGGGCGGCCGAAACACCGACAATCTTCTGGGGTTCCCGGTGCAATGCGGTTGGTTGGATTCACTGAAGTTACAACGGATTCACTTGAAGTTGAAAAGGGTATAGTAAAAGATGAGGATTTACAA